TGATCGTCTATTTCACATCATATTACTGCCTTTTTTGATAATTGAAGTAGTCAACACCAGACCGGCCTTAGTGACCGTGACCGTCATCAGCTGGTTGCTCGGGGTCCAGCTTGATGATGGTGTCAATGCGCATGATGGCTATGCAAGCCTCGACAGCACTCTTGAGCTGCTTGACCTTGCTCATGCTGGGCTCCAAAACACCAGCCTTGAGGGTGTCGTGAACCCGGCCCTTGGTCAGATCCAGACCGTAGTTGCGGTAAGTCTTCTTCTTAGCAATGGCCTTCTCCTCCTCGTTGGCATCACCGTCTTGCACACGCTGTGACAGGGCGTGGCGAACACGGAGCTGAGCGACGAGCTCGGATGAGTCCTTGGCTGCGTTGACAGCCAAAGTCTTAGGAATGACGAGAAGAGACTGTGCGAACTCGCCGATGGCCAGTTGCTCGCGAGAGCCCTGTAATGAAGACATTAGAATTGAGATAGAATATTTAAAGTCGCGAGCACTTGAACTTACCACTGTGACTGCGAATTCCTCGAGGTAGATGTGAAGGGCTGTTTCCACGGCACCACCACCGGGAACGATGCTTCCGCTCTCCAGAGTCCGCTTAATAGCGCAGAGAGAGTCGTGAACAGAGCGCTCCATCTCGTCCAAACTGTATTCGTTGGCACCACGGAGAATGATGGAAGCAGAGTTGTGGACCTTAGTGCCCCTGACGAGAATACACTCGTCGTCCGAAATACGTTCTTGAACAACCTCATCGGCGGTTCCAAGGTTTGATGCGTCGAACTTCTCGTCTCCGTTGAGGTCAGACAGGGTGCTGACCAGGGTGGCACCGGTGGCCTTGGCGATGCGGCGCAAGTCTTCCTTCTTGCAACGGCGAACGGCCATGGCTCCACGCTCGACGAAGAGCTTGAGAACCATATCATCAATGCCCTTTGTTGTGAGGACGACATTGGCACCGGACTTCAGGATCATCTCGACACGCTCGAGAACAATACCAGACTCGCGCTCACGGATCTTCTCCAACTGGTCGGGGTCCTCCACTGTAATCTGAACACCAAGCTTCATGCGCTCCTTCTGCAGGTTCATATCCAGACAAGCGATCTTGGCGTCGGTCACATGGGTCGTCATGGCCTGAGAAGCAACGGTGCAGTTCAAAGCATAGCCGTTCACAAGGACGGACTCGGTGCCACTCTTTCCGTGGGCCTTGAGTAGGTTCACAGCCTTAACGGGGTATTTGACCTCGCCTCTCTGGTTGACGGACTTCACCTGGAGCATCGCATCCACACACATGTTCGCGAAGAAGTCAGAGTCGGAACCGATGATCTTACTGGACATGGAAGTCTTTGCAATGTTGACCAAGCTATCCTTTCCGATATTATCCACCTTTGTCGAAACATTCTCGTTCATATACTTGACGGCTTCGCGCAGGGCAAGACGGTATCCTGTGATGATGGTCGTGGGGTGGATTTTGTTCTTAATTAGCTCGTTTCCTCTCCGCAAAAGCTCGGCGGCAATAAGAACGACAGAGGTTGTGCCATCTCCGACCTATTGAGAGAGATAATCAGCAGGTGTTTGACAGGTGAATGCAGAGACCCATACCTCCTTATCCTGTTGCTGGGCGAGATCAACGAGGATCTTGCCCGCAGGGTGCTCAATATCCAGCAAGGACAGAATAGTAGCACCGTCATTTGTCACGGTCACATCCTGCAAATGTTAGAAGCTGCAACGAAGCTTTGCGAGATTGATGTATTCCCATACCCCTATGTCGTCCACCATCATCTTGTCCAAACCGGAGGGACCGAAAGAGCTCTTGATGACATTTGCAATGGCCTGAGTCGCGAGAACTTCAAGGAGTTAGCTACCATCCCCGAAGAACACATATTTAATCAATAATTCGACATACCAGTCTGCTCACGGACATCAGCACCGGTGATTTTCTGCCCACCCAAGACTGTGTGCGAGATTGGTCAGCTCATTGAAAACGACAACAGTCAATCGTATAGATCTCACAGAGTGTGTCCGCATTCCGCGGTGCCTCAAAGATGCCTGCCATGATAACAGACGAAATAAAGTGAGCTATTCGAGTGCGATGGCAGAGCTGTTCTGGCTTCGGGGGGGGTGCTGTGGGCACTAAAAGTTCTGCCAAGGCGGTGGGCCAATTTTCGATATCGCATCCCACTTTGAGGGGAGTCACACCCGACTTCGCTTCTCCCCAATTTACTCCTGGTTACGGCCTCCTCCCTTGTCTAGTCAGACACTCGTTTCAACCTTCTCACCATGGCTAGCCAGAACCCCACCGATACCCCCGCCGCCGAGGGCGCTGCTGCCCCCCAGGCCTTGCCTGATCGCACCGCCAACCCCGCTGATAACCAGGCGGGTGAGTCAAAGAATGCTGCCAAGAAGGCCGCAAAGCTCGCAAAGCTCGCTGCCGAAAAGGCCGAAAAGAAGGCTGGTGGCAATAAGAAGGAAAAGGCTCCCAAGACCGAGGCCAAAAAGGCTCCCAAGAAGAAGGCCGAGGGTCCTCCTCTGATCGGAATTGATGCGAAGAAGGACACCGACTTCCCCGAGTGGTACCAGCAGACTGTCGTCAAGAGTCAGATGCTCGATTTCTACGATGTCTCTGGATGCTACATTCTCAAGGTAAGCCGTGAAATCGAACAAGATATGGAGGGAATTGCGCTTATCTATTTACTTTCGTTAGCCCACTTCCTACTTCATCTGGGAGGAGATTCAGAACTGGTTCAACAAGAAGATCAAGAGCATTGGTGTCAAGAACTGCTCATTCCCTCTGTTCGTGTCGGAGGATGTCCTGCAACGTGAGAAGGACCACATTGAGGGATTCGCAGCTGAAGTCGCCTGGGTTACCCACGCGTAAGATATTACCTGATTCCCGGATGTTATATACACTAACACATCACATCAGTGGCTCCACCCCTCTTGAGAAGAAGATCGCCATCCGCCCTACCTCCGAGACTGTTATGTACCCATACTACGCAAAGTGGATTCGCAGCCACCGTGATCTTCCCCTGCGTCTCAACCAGTGGAACTCTGTTGTCCGCTGGGAATTCAAGAATCCTCAGCCTTTCCTCCGTACAAGAGAGTTCCTGTGGCAAGAAGGGTATTGCACCTGCATTGGCCCCCGTTGTATAGAAAACATGCTAATTCATATTCCTCTAGTCACACCGCTCACTTCACAGAAGCTGCTGCCCGCGAAGAAGTTTTGATTATTCTCGAATGGTACGCCAAGATTTACGAGGAGCTCCTTGCTATTCCCGTTGTCAAGGGTCAGAAGACCGAGAAGGAGAAGTTCGCCGGTGGTCTCTACACCACCACTGTCGAAGGTTACATCCCTGCCACTGGACGTGGTATTCAAGGTGGTACATCCCACGGTCTGGGCCAGAACTTCAGTAAGATGTTTGGTATCACCGTTGAGGATCCTTCTGCCAAGGAAGGTGAGAAGAAGGACCCTCTGTTCGTCTGGCAGAACTCTTGGGGTCTGTCCACCCGTACCCTTGGTGTCATGGTCATGGTTCACGGTGACGACAAGGGTCTGGTTCTCCCTCCCCGCGTGGCAGAGACTCAGGTTATCATTGTTCCAGTCGGTATCACAGCTAAGCACTCTGAAGAGGAGCGCGAGAAGATCATGGCTGAGGTCGATGGCCTCGTTACTGTCCTTGTTGCCGCCGGTGTTCGTGCTGAGAGCGATCTGCGCAGCTACTCCCCCGGCTGGAAGTTCAACCAGTGGGAGATGCGCGGAGTGCCCTTGCGCCTTGAGTTTGGCCCCGGCGAATCCGCCGGCCACTTCGTCACCGCTGCCCGTCGTGACATGGGTAAGGATGGCAAGACATCCATCCCTATTCCCGAGTTGGCAACGGCTGTCCCCGAGCTGCTCGAGACCATTCAGAAGGATCTCTACAACCGGGCCGACAACGAGTACAAGACCCACCGCAAGCAGATCACCAACTGGGACGACTTCACCCCCGCTCTCAACGAGAAGAACCTCTGTGTTATTCCCTTCTGTCTGGTTGAGGAGTGTGAGGACCAGATTAAGGACATGTCTGCCCGCAAGGCTGAGGAAGACTCTGGCGAGGCCGAGGATGCCAAGGCCCCCAGCATGGGTGCTAAGTCGCTGTGTATTCCCTTCGAGCAGCCCGAGGGCATCGAGGCCGGTGTCACTCGCTGCCTGAACCCCCACTGCACTCGCTTCGCCGAGAAGTGGTGTATGTTCGGCCGTTCTTACTAAACTGTCTGATATACCATCTTGCCATCGTCTGCATTTACCTGTCTCCAAATCATGTCGAGTTTCTAGTGTAGGTGAGGAGTCAAAGCGAAAGACAAAAGCTGGTTGCATAAGGTCCCGGTGATGTGGAATGTCCAATTGATACCTTTCTGTTTGTTTTATACAGCTTGGGGGCTTATGGAGGCGTTGCGCCATGTAGTTGAAATGAGAATATGAGAAGAACGATTCTTTTAAAGCACTGTTCATTTAATGCCACCTATGTAGATGTGTCTGTAAGCCCGTAGAGCAGAACTCGGCCGGGTCAGTGGAGGCTATACACGTTCGACATATCGACACATCTGCGCTTGAAGACGCGAAGCAAGATATTCCACGTTCTGAAGATGAGCATACTCCCATTCTTTTCTTGCGAACCACTATATCTGACTTGAATGGCCCGGCAAACCAGGCCTGGATTCCGTTGTAAGTGACACTGGGTCAAGCGGAACCCGGGATGTGGCTTGGGGATTGGAATGGACACAGGCGTTACCTTGACATGCGTTTTGTTATTTCACAGTATTTCACAGTATGTCAAGTTACCCCGAGGATATCCCTGTGTGTATGGCAAAAAGAAATCTAGACGGAAGATATCTTCCAAGTACTCTCCCACATCCATTCCAACTTTGCCATTGGATTTCTACTTTGATGAAGCACAAATACGTGTTGTATCACACTCATTCCCACAGATATCATACTTCAAGTCAACATCTTGAGAGATACAATATGACATCATCGCCAGAGTGGAATAAAATGCTTCGCGGCAAGTGGTATCATGCCGGCGATGAGATTTTGCAAGAAAACAGAACTCGTTGTAAGGAAGCATGTGAGCGTTTTAATGCAGCAGGATTCGCTTCGCGTCGTGAGAAGATCAGGCTTTGGAGGAGGTAAGTAGCTTAGAGTAACAGCGCTAGTCGAATGATAGGGATACTACTAACTGATCATCTAGCATTATTGGCGACACCCGGCCACTTCCAGCAGAGATCGCAGACGCAAAAGCAGATGAGAGCCTTTTCGAAGAGACAGACCCATTTGTCGACGGTCCAATCTCCATTGATCACGGGCTGAATTTCAAAGTGGGAAAGGGAAGTTTCTTGAATTTCAATCTTCTTGTTCTTGATACATGCCTTATTACAGTAGGCGAGAATGTTCTTTTCGGGCCTAATGTCAGTTTATATGGTGCTATTCATCCTTTGGACCCCGCAAAGCGCCGTGGACTCAAAGGGCCGGAGGCAGGAAAGGAAATTCATATTGAGGATGATGTTTGGATTGCAGCTGGTGCTTCGATCCTGGGTGGGGTTCGAATTGGCAAAGGCAGTACAGTGGGCGCTTGCTCGGTTGTTACTAAGGTGAGTGCTAGTTTCACGAATCCGTCGAGCTGGATGTTTATTCACGCATGTGCTATTCAGGATGTGCCCCCATTCCACTTTGTGGCAGGAAATCCTGCAAAAATTATCCGACGTATCGAGTCTTCCATGGATCCGGACAATGAGAATAGAGTAATTGGAAATGACGGCGTCTGACTCCATACTAGCATTCAGAGTTCCAGTATATGCAATTCAGGTTTTCTACAATATCGCTCTGAGGCTCAAAGCTCAGGGAATACCCAGTCTCTTCGTAACCGAAATACCTATACGCATATTACTTCTGTACCAAGATGACAGAGCATACAGTACTGGGTACCACATTCTAGATTCAGCACTACCCTCTTTATAAATATTTGCCATCTGTTTGGTTCAGTCGAGAGCGCCAAGGCTCCACCGCGGTTGTTAAAAACCGAATCAGGCTAAACTAGCCCTAATCCACCAATCACATTCATATTTGAGCCCCAGCCTTGAATCTATACTCGACGACCAGCGTCATTTCTTATTTTCATGTCCCAGGAAGTTCTAAGCTCTTGAAAGTTGATGTCAAAGCGTTTGTTCCGCCGAGGTAGTGCCGAGCAAAACTACCCTACCCGTCGTTAGAATTCATTCCCCCAATTCAATTAGAACAACTTTGGCGTTCTGGCACACATCGCTGACTTCGAAAGAAACCAACATGACGGTACTGGCTAACATCGATGAGAATGATAATAGAGCTCGCATGGAGCGAGGTGAACTCTATTACGCATTCTCCCCAGAGTTGATCGCGGCGCGCAAAAGATGCGGGCGTATAGTCGGCCAACTAAATCGGGAGGGAGAACTTTCTCGGCGAGAACTAGCAGCATACTGGAAAAAGTAAGTCATGAAAGTCGTCGCCTCGTTTGTGACACAGTAAATGATACTTGAGTTGACTTGCTAATAATAACGGTCCTAAGTATAACCCAAGACCCTCGGCCTCTACCACCTCCCGGAGCGACGGATGAAGACGAGGACAGAATTCTTCACGAATATCCCTGGATTGAACGGCCTATCAATATAGATTACGGAACCAACATCAAGGTTGGGAGTGGTGTCTTTATAAACTTCAATTGCACTTTTCTCGACACATGCACAGTATCCATCGGAGCACGCACTCTCGTTGGTCCTAATGTATGTTTCTTTAGCGGTACACACCCTTTGGATCCCGATCTTCGCAACGGTACTGAAGGACCGGAGCTAGGCCGTCCGATCACAATCGGAGAAGATTGCTGGATTGCAGGGAATGTCATTCTTTTGCCTGGAGTGACAATTGGTGACGGATGTACTATCGGCGCAGGCAGTGTGGTCACAAAGGTAATAATTGATCTATCCGCACGCTTTGATAATAGCGGCTTTTGTTCAGTGTTTCAAGGCTAATGGTATGAATCGCACCAAGCAGGATGTTCCAGCTTGTCATGTTGCTGCAGGCAACCCTGCCAGAATTCTTCGTCGGATTGAGCGCAGTGGCAAGTAATAGAGTAACCCTGGAAAGAGATGTGAGGTTGGAAACCACTCCTACAGTCGATCTTTCACTTAGATTCAGATGAGTAAAGCGCTTAGCCTAATAGATATACTGGAGACATATGTGGGCACTTCGTATATTTGCGCACACAAAACAGTATGAAATTAGATAGCACCTTTTTCGGCAAATATCTCAATTTCACATAGTGAAATGGGAGATGCTCGATGGCAGTCTGGTCAAAACAGACGGGTCGACAAATGGTGGCAAGAAATCCCAACAACAAGTCAGGTCTGTGAGCTCTAGACAGATGATGCCTATCAGGGATAATCAGATGCTATATCAAGGAGCATAATGATCATAAATCTTGAATCAGGAAATGAGTGGCATTGTTGTAGCTGTCTATCATTCTCTACAGTCGTAGTTTTCCTATGTCCCTTCCTTGAGGACATCACTGCCTGAGGCAATAATCATACAAATCTCGTGATTTCCCCACTACAATAGTAATTTTAAAGGAAGATGGTAAGAAATACATACATTCGAACTTTTTCTGTAATACAAAAGGCCTCAAGAGAGAGGCAAGCTCAGCCCAGTCTCTTGCGTCATGCAATTCCATATTTTTGGCTCACTGCCATTTCCATCGTATTCTTCCCATCTCTGTTGAATGATCATCCGAAATTTTCGAATATGTCCCATCTGCCGGGCACTATCTAGACGATCAAGCTCTTTCATGAAATCCTCTCTGTCAGATCCACGAAAACAGCGCATTCCGATAACGTAGAATGGAAAGAGTGATGCGGTCCTTAAGATAGAGTCATCCACAGCCGACAAGCTGAGAATGCCTCTCAAAACCATGGCCTCTACCTTTCTTGATGCAGGATCGATAGGATGTATGATGGAAAATGTCCAGATGGATATGGCAGCAATGTAGGCTTCGTACAGATGACATAGATCAGAGGCTGATCCAGGGGCAGTCCATTCGTTAACCTTTTGCCAAATGTGGACGGCTCGTACTATCAATTCATCCTTCGGTACTGTATCAACTGCGATTTCAGATTCAAGTTTATGAATATGCCACATTTTTTCAACCAGTCCATAATGCATCCCTATCGTAGGCTCCTGGTCAAAGAAACCGGCGTATAATGCTTCTAAAGAGATAGGATCAGGGGATTGCCTTTTCCCATGATTTTCGTCGATGTCCAATACTCTTGCAAGAACGTCATGGTACAAAAAGAACTGCATCAGCGACTTGTCAATGCTGAGGTCTTCGACATCTTGGTTATTCACAATATCATGGACGAATGATCTTGCTTCATTTAAGATCTTCTGCCATGATCTATCACAAGTGCCTTCCGACATCTCGTAAAGATAAAGTAAAACGTAAGCCGTGAGTAACGCTTCGTACTCTATCCTAACCTCCGAAGTCATTACTAAATCAGGCCGTAGAGAGTCTACACGCGATGTCAACTCTTCTCGGGCTCTTCGCCACAGAATGCCTTTGTGTATGGCAAAGCTTTGTACTTCCGATGAACTCGGTATAGAGGAATTGATCAAATGAGATGCTCCCAGACACAGGATAGAATTCGCGATCATTGTGTCACCCATGCCCCGTGAAATGATCCGACTCATAATGGGATCTGTACTCCCTTCAAAAGGCAGAGTCATTACGCGGCATGTGCTGTTGACAAAGTGGGCCCAAAAGCGTTGCTCCTGTGATGAGTTGGAGCTTTCACTAGAGAAAGTCGGAGCTGTAGGAGCAACACAGCGACTGGATACCATTGTTGTCTTCGAGGGTTTTGCAGAACGCTTTATTTTTTTCAGAGTAGGATCTACTTAGTCAAGTTAGATCTTCACTTTCGTTTCGGATGGATATTTTGTCATACACACATTCACGAATGTTTGATATCACAATGATTTCTTACCAGAGATGTGCTTCAAGGACGGTATATTTATAGCCAGTCAGTCACTATGGATTGAAGCCATGTAGTTGTACACTCCTTTTACGCGGCAACAGCGCCTGCACGGTGGGGCTGTGGGTAGTCATAGTTTTGTTTTAGTCTCGTTCCATGTTCGGGCAAGCTCTGGGAAATCAAATCAACCGAAGCTTTTTTTTGGTGGTCATGGAATAAACGGTGAAAAGAAGAGGTTTGGGTGTTGTGTTGGTACTCGTACTATCTAGCAAGGAATAAATTTGACTGATTTCCTACCGAATATGCACAATGCCACTGACCTGCTTGGCTATCATATCCAAACTCGGACTACTTGCTCAATCTGGAAATCCGAGATACCAGCTGAGTAGTTCTGATCAGACGTCACTCACATCAAAATATGCAGCTAGAGGTCACGCTTTCGTGGAAAAAGTAAATTATCATCCGGTCCAACTGATGTCGTGCACTGAAAATTGTTTGGCCATATAAAGTGATATGGTAACCTGGCTTTAGCGCCCGAAAAAACGTGATACATCATCTAAGGAACTGATCACAGCAAATGGTTCTAATTTAAGGAAGCTTTCTATACGCTCTGAGAATGCCACTAACAGACAGTTTATCCCGGCGATATTTCGGCAAAACATAGCCCTACAGGAGCGCGGCTGTTAAATCTCAAAAGGAGAATAGTGCAGCCCACTCGTATCATAGTGGGCATCATGAATAAAGACTCCATATACTGGCTGGAAAACAGACACCACCGACACTATGCACTGGTGCAGGCGATTTGTCGGATTCATGTCCCCGGACTATGCGGGGTATTCCTTGGCCTGAGAACATCGTCGTTGCAATTTGCAGCCAAGTTTCACAAAGTTTATGGGCTTATGTTTCTGAGTTCGGAATACAGTTAGGGCACGCGATGCTGTCTCAATAAGTAATCACATGATATTGCTTATTTAACTCCAGCATTGATTGATCCACCGAACAGGTGCCAGCCTTCGAGTACCAATTTCTTCTGCTTATTTTCCAAATTTCATTGCGCTTTGAAATAACCTTATATCAAAGTTGTTATATCGAAGTTGACCAGTTCACTGTATCGCCTGCCTGGAAGTACTTCTCGCATCGTACGCATCTCAAAATCCATCCCAATGGCGCGCCTGAGATCAAATTACACCATCCACAAGTGGTGGAAGGAGGCGGTGGTCTATCAAGTTTATCCTGCGAGCTTCAAAAGTGGTAAATCTGTGACTGGGGCCGACGGATGGGGGGATCTAGAAGGAATGTGTGAAAAAGTTCCTTATTTAAAGAACCTGGGTGTTGATGTTGTATGGTCTAGTCCCAGTGAGTGCCACATGAGATCACCCCAAGTGACTGAAACTAACGGTTTGGACATGAAGTCTACAAGTCACCGCAGGTAGACATGGGCTACGACATTGCCGATTATAAAAGTATCGATCCGCGGTACGGCACATTATCAGATGTGGACAGGTTGATCGAAACGCTCAAGAAACATGACATGAAACTCATTATGGACCTTGTTGTCACGCATACATCTGATCAACATACTTGGTTTACTGAATCTGCTAGTTCCAAAAACTCGCCAAAGCGTGGTTGGTATATCTGGAGGCCTGCCAAAGGCTTTGACGAGGCTGGGAGTCCGTTGCCTCCTAATAATTGGGCACAAATATTGGGTGATGCACTTAGTGCATGGACTTGGCATGAAGAAACGCAGGAATTCTACTTGACGCTGCATACAGCTGAGCAGGTTGATCTTAATTGGGAAAATCCCGAGGTCGTTGCTGCGGTTTATGATGTGAGTCTCCGTATTCAATATCAAAATCCATATCGCTAACGTATGCTGAAACGAGGTCATGGAATTTTGGCTCCGCCGTGGAGTTTCTGGATTTCGCATGGATGTCATTAACCTCATTTCCAAAGACCAATCTTTCCCAGATGCCCCGATCATTGATCCAGCCTCGAAATACCAGCCAGGTGAAAGGTTCTACACAAATGGGCCTCGCTTTCACGAATTCATGCATGGAATCTACGACAATGTTCTTTCCAAATATGATACCTTGACAGTTGGAGAAACCCCATACATTACCGATATGAAAGAAATTATAAAAACGGTGGGTTCAACAGCTGGAGAATTAAACATGGCATTCAACTTTGACCATATGGAGATCGAGGATATCAAAACCAAAGGCGAATCTAAATGGAGTCTACGGGAATGGAAACTGACTGAGCTGAAGGGGATTCTCTCTGGATGGCAGAACCGTATGAAGGAGTGGGATGGCTGGAATGCGGTCTTCTTCGAATGTCACGATCAAGCTCGATCAGTGTCGCGTTATACAAACGATACGGACGAGTTCAGGGAATATGGTGCCAAGCTTCTGGCACTTCTGGAGACTACATTGGGAGGGACTATCTACATTTATCAAGGGCAGGAGATTGGTTTGCGCAATTTCAGACTGGGGTCAGATCCGGAGACCCAGCTCAAGGATATCGAATCTCTTAATTTTTGGGCGAAGATGAAAAAACTCCACCCTACTGGGTCTGAACATCTTGAACAGGCAAGAGAGCTTCTGCAAAAGAAAGCTAGAGACCATGCTCGTACGCCTATGCAATGGAGTGCTGCTCCGCACGCTGGTTTCACGGTCCCCGAGGTGACCCCGTGGATGAAAGTGAACGACGACTACAAGACTATCAATGTGGAGGCTCAGATGGCATCTACTTGCCAAGGGACAGATAAATTATCAGTGTTGCTGTATTGGCAAGAAGCGTTACGTCACCGAAAGCTACATAAGAATGTTTTTGTTTACGGTGATTTTGAGAATGTGGACTATGATAACGAAGAAGTGTTTGCATACTTGAGGACTGATTTCGAGAATAATGAGAGGTGGCTCATCGCCATGAACTGGACGACGTCCCAAATTGAGTGGACAGTTCCTTCGGGTATAAAGGTCATGAAATGGGTCTCCTCCTCGCATCAGGCTACTTTGCCTGACCCAAATCAGTCGGCTATCGAGCTTCGGCCGTTTGAAGGTCTCGTGGGATGTTGTACTTAAACTGAAGTGTGGAAACAAATTTGAGCTCTGGTAATTTTTCGTGAACTTATTCATACAATAATGATCACCCGGTCCTCATGCCAAAATAACAGGACAATCATAGTTATAAAATGACATTCCCACGACCCTGGCTGAACGCTGCGAATTTCTGTCCTTTTTCCATTCTTCTCGTAGAAATGCTGCACTCTTTGAAAAGATATCGGATTGCCATTCTTCATGAATATGAATCAATTTTGCAGCTATAATTAGCTGATGATCATTGGAAGTAGCAGAAAGGCCCGCCACGACTAGTGGCCAGCACAAGATATTGTGTGAAGGTGAGTTTGGAGGGAGGCATTTCAACTGATGAACGAAGCCCTTCACCAGGGATTGAACTGTGCTGTCTTCATTGGGCATGGACAAAGCGAGAAGCTTTCCAATGTGGATACGACATGCCAAGCGGTACAATTCAGATGTGATCGCATCTTCGAGATGTGCATGGTTCATGGTTTGCTCGACGTTGGGATTCTTCTGGCACGAGGCCAATGCTTGATCCATGAGTCGGAGCTCGGCCTTGGCTGAAGAAACCAGGCCTGGTTCATTAGAGAAAATAAGATGCGTCAGAGTGGAGAAGCGGAAGATTGTCAAGAACAAGTGTTGAGATGTTCCCATTATATGGCCGTTCTGGATATACCCGATGACCGAAGGGGAATTAAAGATGCTATAAGCTTCGCGAATAGATAACCTGGGGCCGAGTGAGAATGTGGCCAAAGAGAAGAAATAACAGAACATCTCGAACAAGAAGCTTCGAAGAGCTGTGTTTATGCTTCTGCGGCAGATGCGGTTTTGTAAAAGAATGACCGCAGCATTGAGATGTGGAAGTATCCTCTGACTATCAGTGAAGTTTTGAGTCTGGAAGAATTAGCCATCTTGTCTAAAATAAGATCTGGGAGTAGTATTAAATACTTCATGTACGCATAGCAAAAGGACCGCAAGCGGAATATGATCTACAGGTATACATCAGCACAATGAAGAGCAAATAGGTATGATTGAGAATCAAACCATGAAGAGCAGAGTCAGACGAAGACGCAACCGCAATCTCACTCTGAATCCCACTTTGCAGACCAGCCACTGCCTGTCCATAGTATTCCACAGCAGCATGCTGCAGTTCCAAGTCACCCCGACGATACTTGAGTAGGTCTGCAGCTGCTACGGTAAGAACACATTTCAAGACAAGATCGCTTTCTGATATGGCAGGAGACAGCCATTCGATATAATCAGTTCTTCGAGACCCCGTTCTAGTTGAAAGCCATCTTGGGCTGGCGTCCAGGAAGTGACTGAGCAAGCGAGAAACAATATTCGGTTTGAGGGCGGAGAATACATTCATCATTCCCAGGGCTTGTTCAGGTAATATTCTCTCGGATAAGCGAGAATTTCTGCGCCGAGTTCTGGGGTTTGACAAGGAAGCTCTGGATTCCCATTGGCAAACGAGATTGTTACGTCGACAACCTGCACAGGATGGACGGATTTCATCGCATTTCTTTTTGCGGTGTCGGCAAGTCAAGCACCCGGCTCGAGTTCGCTTTGGGTGTGAAGTTGCCAATTTACCGTCCTGCATTTTCATAGTGAGAAGTCGGGTGAGTTGAAGGTAGGGTTATGCCAATGAGATGCCCGCGGGGTACGTAGACATCACGTGGCTGAACCAGTCATGGCAATACGGCAAATTTGGCCCTTTGTATGATACTTTATTGTACTCGACTTTTGTATTGGTTTAAGTATAGTAGTTTCAGTGAATCCCTGAAGGAGAGAGGTGGCTGAAAAACTTGACATATAGCACATGTTGGCAAAAAGCCCCAAAATTTTGGTATGGCATAACTCCGACCGAATTATGCAAACAGTATTAGAATAAGAAAGAAAATTAGAATATCTCCACAAGGGATGACAGGCAAGGTCTGTAGTAGAGCAAAGGAATATAAACAAAAATAGAAAGACAGGCTTGAGTAGCTGTCGAGAGAGGGTATTATAGGCCGCAAGTATTCGACCGAGAGTTGGATTGATAGGAAAAAGTGACGAGTTTGAATGTGGGAAAAGCAGATTGTTTCTTGTGAAACCCAGGGTGTCGGAGATGGAAAGGCTGAAAGGCTTTTGCGAAGAGAGAGATAGACAGAGACAGCGCGAGTCATGAAAACATCATTATCATGCGGAGAAAAGCAGACATTCCCGCTAAACAGTGTGAGGCATCAGGTCCACCTAGTAAGCCTCAACAGAGCGAGAGCCTCGGATCTGCATTCGTACAGGGGACGATGGCGAGAGGCTATTCCCATAGGAATTGCGGTTGAATCGCCCAGAACGCGGTGGCCAGTGCATGAGCTTCGGGTCATCATTAGAGGCACCGTCAATCACATATCGTACATTTGGTTCATCTACACCTTCGATCTGCACGCGAGGAGGGGACATGTTCACGCTGGGGAGCTGGATGATATCATCGTCATCGCTTTCTTCCTGCGATTCACTGGTCGATGGAGTGGAATGTGCTTGCATGCAGTAGATCGTGCCCGGGGTGCTAGGTGCATCTGGAACAGTGCGAGCCAAGGTGGCAAGATTTCCAGCGGACTCTGAACGACCACGCTTGCGAGAGGCAGCGGGAACCTTGAAGCCGTGGGATGACGTAGGGCCCTCGCTGCTTGCACGCAGAACATCCATATAGGTAATCGTTTCGCCGGCGGCGAGACGTGGGGCAATGGATTCTTGAGTTTTGGCATCAGCGAGGAAGCCCGGGGTTGGAGGAGGGGCGTCGGTGTGACGACGGGCCGGAGAGCCAGCCACCTTTCGTCGAATCTTGTCGTAGCCGACACTAGATGAGATGCTACGGCGGGACTCGGAGTTGCGCTTATGTTTAGTGAATGAACCCTTGCTTGCCAGGCGGCCCTTGGCCGAGGCATTTCGGCTAAGGAGTCCTGGTTCGTGGTTGGGACCAGCGAATCTGTCATTTCCTGGGGTAGGTGTGAATGGAGGTCCGGGAACCGGCACAGGGACACGACGGAATGCTTCGTGAGAGTTGATCTCGCGTACAATGGCATCTTGTAAAGTTTCGTAAGTTGGGTGGTTACCTGGAATCGAGGTGAAAGCTTTGCTAAACAAGTCCATCAATTCCGAGGCTTTCAAGCGCGGTGATTCTTTGGGGGGACTGGCAGGTGTTGGAACGGGCAGTGGGCTGTTCATAACTTCTGCAATGCTGGGAGCTCGCTTCATACTGCCGGTTGATGGGGTTGGCGGTTGAATGGCACGGTGTCCAATCTTTGGTCGTCCTTTCGAAGCTAATTTTGTGTTGATTGAAAGATCTCGAACGTTTTTCTTGGAGCCTGGCACTGGTGGGGAGAGTGTTGGAGAACATGATCCTGACGTCGCAGATGAGCGGCGACTGATTACAGCAGGCGATCGAGGCACCGAAGGAGCCTCGGCAGCACCGTCACTTTCGCCCATAGGGACCGGAATTGTCGGGCTGTCTGGGAGCGGTGTATTGCTCCATCTCTTGCCAAGCTTATAGGCAGGAGGGACACCCAAGCGCTGAACAGGGCTGGGTGGAGCATTCTCCTGTGGCACGAAGCCTTCGTCTGCTGAGAGACTAGGTGCTGATCTTTGGTGTCGAAGGTGTTGGTTGGATTTTTCTTGAGATGTAGTGCCTGAGCCATCATCCCGAGAGTGCTTTCTTGTTCGTAGGTTCTCTGCTGATGCCCATGATGGCTTGCCAGGGTTACGCTTCCTGAACTTGCGTCGTACGCCGTCTGGGATACGCACTCTTCCAGGCGCAGCTGGAGATGACTGGGAGCTCAAATTCGACGAGGTGCGAGTGTCCTTATTATATTTCGCAATATTTCGGTCTGCTACATCCTCTTGGTATAGTGCAGCAAGAATCCGTGAACTTGCGACTCCATTTCTGTATTGAATCCGAAGAAACCTCGTCATATTCCGTTCAGCAACATCTTCATTGTATGGGCCAGCTAGTGGGGACAATGGCTCCGATTTGATTGTCTGAGGGCGTTCCGAATAATTTAAAGCATCCATCAGATCAATATGACGTCCATTCTGGGGTTTGACGGCTGTCAAATTAGTGTCACCCAAAGGCGGCAATTCTGATTCAACGGAGGTGGGCCGCTGAAGAGAATCATGCAGATCTTCGAATTGTTTCTCGATCTGGTCGAAGTGGTGAGCCACATCTAGTGACTGTGAAGCGCTTGAAGGAAAGTCTCCAAAATGGCTTCGCGCAGGCGAGTCAACCGTCATATGAAAGTAAGGATCTCTCATTGCGCTGCCTTCGAATCCAAGGCTGGTCACGGGTCGAGATGGATACTTTTCTGCTAAGAAAAGTTTCTTTAATGCAACCATTTTGAAGGGTTGAAAGCATTCAATCGCAAAACCTGCGTGCAATTGGAGAGTGACACGCTGTAGTGCTCAATATAGAAGTCCACGGCGGTAGTGCTCGGGGAAAGAAAGGAAGGAAAGGTGCCAAGGTGACAATCAGTGGAGTAACGAGACCCGGTCGTCGTAAAGAATGGAACGATTGGATGTCATGGCATCACTTAAAGAATGGAAACCCGTCAGACGGTTCAAGTATACTGTTCATGGTGGAAAGGAGATGGAGAAAGAGGGACAGAAAAGTCGACAAGAGCCAAGCGAGTCACTTCCTGGTACAGTAGATGGCGTGCAGATCTATCACCTTTCCTTGTCTGGATCAGGGGAAAGTGACCCGGTCACCATGATCACAGTAGAGCGGAGCCTGTGGCCGATGAGGCGCGACGATTCGCACGCTAAAAGTTTAAGAATACCCCCATCGCGTGTCTCTCTTTGTTCACAGTTTGCCTTGCCTCGGGGGACATCACTCGAGGCCCGAGTACTGTACCCCCTCGAATCTTCGTTATGATCGTCTTCACGGCGATGATCGCCAGTCTCCTGCGTAAAAGGTCAACACCTGCATTCAAATGGAGTCAAGCATGCGGCTAGCAGACCTTTCTCTTCAGAGCTGCACTTTCAGGCTGCCTCATAGGCTAGGAGCTTAACAAAGCCGGCCCTCATCCGAGGTAAGAGATCCACCTAGGACTTTTGTTGACAGGCGAAAACGCCAACATCGCCAATTTCATTTCATTGGAGGCAGCAGTGGTCAATTTCCTGGCAGCAGCCACATTCACCCCACTACATCTGAGCCCAATCATTGCTCCAGTGATGATGTTCAAATGCCGACCAGCCAACAAAAGTGGGTTGTTGCTTGAAATGTGGTATGCGATGGAGCCCTCAATTTCCGCACGAGTCGTCATTGGTGTGAGGCGCTGATCGACAAATGATCCAGCCGTCTCGTGCTGAGCGGGACGAACCCGCGAACCGAGTGCCAATTTTGGAATTCGGATATTCGGAGTTCAACAGCATCTCCAGTAGCTTCGACTGGAGCCTGAAGTCGTGACAGGGGGTCACGCGAGAAACAAAGAAAACTAGAAAGGCCATTTTTGGGGGGAAGCAATCCAACTTTGACGGGCTGCTCCAAGCTCAGGGGGGAATTGAAACACTAGTCGTAAGTTAATGCAAATGATCCGCCCGAATCCTTGGGTGATTCCTTGGTTATGGTGAGACCCTGCTTCATGATGCTTCCAAGGTGAACTTATATGCAGGGGGTCACGTTACGTGGGATATAGTTCTTTAATCTACACACAATGAACCTGTAACAATGTATGCTCTCTATATGAACTCTTGCCCTTCGCTTCTTTCGATCGATCGATTCCGATTCGATTTCGATTCCGATAATGGGTCCGATCGTCATCCTACTTTGACACCGCCAGTTGTTGGCGTTTAACCGTTCGGGAATGTCAACTTTAACCAACCCCTTTTTTTTGGCTTACTGTACATTTCATACTTGGCTTTCTTTGTCATTAGCAGCGAGAAATTCTGGACTAATGCAGAATTGGGGGGAACTTTCCATAGTCCAAGATACTAAGGGCTCATATTAGCTTAGGGGGAAATGAAGACAGAAGTACGTAATTCGCTGTCTATTCTTGGCTCCGAAGTTCCCGGCCAGTAACTGGACATCGTTGCTCAGAATTTGAAGCGGACATGACTGCTGCTTGACCCAATGAATCTTGCTCTTGTGTATGCTTCTTGACTATGGTCCGCGAGATACTAAAAATCGCTGCACTTCTTTCTGTGCTATTATTGTATTGCATTTCAGGATGCTGACAACCTGCTCGGAAATTTGGTTGACTTAATACGTGGAAGCTAACTAATAACCTATGTTTTTTGAACGTGATGGATGGACGATTTGTAATGTTATAAACTATAATTTCCTTTAAATCTCCTTATGTCTATCTCAGAGACTTGGATTATAGCGTAGGAAACGCTTGTGCACAAAACGGATTCGAATCTAAGGTCTCTCAGATAACTGTAGATGGCATACTGTCTATTTTCTTACTGCAACATCACTAATCTCCTAAATATACTACTCTCTGTACCCGAGAGTATAGAGACTTGTTCTACCATGCTCAAAAGTACCTTGAAATTCAAGGAGGTTGGTGTCAAAGTTTATGTTGCCAGGTAATCGTTGAAAATGTTTACCTTGGTTTGTTGCATCTCATTGGGCTACGAGAACGTTCTTTTCTAGATGGATGAGTCCTACAATCTCCTTTAAGTCTTTCGTTTTTTTCAAACAATCCTCTACCTTACACGCATATCATATACTATATCTACACCGTGCCCATGGAATCACAGCAAGGTATGCCGAACGAGGAATCTTATACCTAACCATACCGATTGGACCATCAGCATCAGTTCCTAAGGCAAGCTGAAGTTGACTCTCTGTAATTACAAAAGGGGGACCATTGATAGCCTACCGAGGATGTCCTGCACTTCCTCTGCAAATTATTGGGGTTCTTACGTGGAGAGTTTACTCATCTTACGTTGATGATGGTAGAATGTGTTGAATCCAAAATTATCACGGTTAGCTGTGTGGCCGTTGGAAATGCCATGAACATCACTGCCACCCCAGCTCGAAGTTACTATTAACATCTAAGGGAGAAGATGAACGAGGAGTCCGGTGAGGCCGCAGTTGGTAACCTTGAAAGAATGAGGCTGGCATTATATAATACGACGAGCTTGAGTTTTAGGAAGGCAGCGAGGAGGAGAACCCTTCTGTCAATTGACCAGAACTGCTTATAACATTTTTTATGAACCTTTTCCTGGGGCCTGTCTCTTCGGGGTCTGAGATAGCTCTGTTCTTTTGTTCTTATTTGACTTCTCTTGAAGACAATTCTCCTTCCAGGGTCTCCTTTACTCAGCAATCCCCAAGCGACTTTCACAATTGATAATCCGGATTGAACAGACAACTATGAGTGGTTTGCTTATATGTACTGGATGTCTGTAGACTTCATTCATTCGTTATGTGATGTATCTATCCTAGACTTGAGCAATGGATCTCTCAATAGATTCCCTGATAGCCTCAGCCAGAACAGTATTGGCTCCACGAGCCGCATCAACAGCCCCGTCTACCAAAGCTTCATGACCTGTTCGTTGATCACTCTTCTCAAGAGCAGCTCTTGAGCTATCTCCCTTGAGCCAGAGCTCTGTGATTTCATCGCGCGCAGGCATGTATGCCACCACACAAGCCGACACAATAGATTTATGCTCCGCAGGATCCATGTCAAGCATGAGTCGGGGGGCTCCCGTTGAAGATGGGCTCTCATCATCTGCCACCAAAGCAGCAACACCACCAGAGACAAGGTCCAGACAGTCAATGCGAGCATCTGCAATAGCAGCAGAAGCAGCTGTGATACATCCGGCAAGAACATTCATCATTCCCCACGAGGCATCGTGCGAATTGGGAGCATCGCCCCACCAGCGATCATCTTCCGCTTCAATCACGGTAACAGTGATATCCAGTCCACTCTTGGGCCAGCGCTCAGCGATAATTGCGCCGCGAAGAGCTGTCTCTAGATGTACGCCCAGATCACGCTCGCTGGCATCGCGAATGTGACCTTTTCTCTTGCGGGCAGCGAACGGCGCGTACTTGACATGAGTTGTGAGAACAAGATTGGGCGAGAATGCAGCAGATCGGGGAAGTGGCTTGGGTCCATGAACTGTGCAGGCCAGCTTGAGTGCTGAGGAAGGTGGGATCAGAGATTTGGGGTTGGAGCGGGCGGCAGCGAGGGAGGCGGATGGTTCAAATTCAAGGTATGAAGAGCCAGAGGCCGTTGGAATCAATCCTGTTTTCAAAACTATGTTCAAGATTAGCTGCGATCAAGTGAAAGCTTCTCAATGTGTTCATACAGATTTTCCGTAGCTCGGCGGGCTGGCGCTGGCGTCGGGCACGGTCTGCGGCACCAGTGGAGGATTGCTGGACAGAGGCAAAGACTGGAGGTCTTGTGCCACCTGGTGGGCCATTGATACGTCTTCTGTCGGCCATTATGCGGGAATTAGTGCAAAGCTGAAGCTGTCGAGAGTCGCGATGGTTGAAGTCCCAGAAACGGAAATTCTGGAGTTTGCATGGTTTGTCGGCCCCACCGCCTAGCGTCTGTGGTTTTTCTTGACTTTTCTGCTCTTCTTTCTTTCTTCCTTTCACACATCTCTGTTTACCAGAGTCCTTCCAATGTCGAAGGAATTGAGTAGCATCTTGGTTGATGCTTGACTCCTTGCGTTTAACTAACATGATAAATGTGAGTATCATTACACCCTCATCACCTCCATTGTCTATATGACGAGAGAGATCCAACCTCCTGTTCGGCGACGAAAAATGGGCCAAGAACAACATGCACTACCATCTGACAAAGACAACAACATTCTATTGTTATTATTACTCTGTTTGTGCATCAGTGACTGACAATAGCTTTGAACAGATTTAGCATCTTCATTGGTCACTGTCAAGTGTCCGGGGAAGCTCCGTGAAAATTTTCACTGACAAGGTAAGAACTTTTTTTTTTTCTCTTTCTCTTTCCTCCGACTCCCTCAAGTGATGAAAAAACATTTTCAGTTCTGCTTCTGCAAAATTTTTGAAGATAACAAAATTCTTACCAAAAACACCTGATACTTCTTGAGATCTCCTCATTATTGCCTTTCAGCCTTTATGTCTTGACAAGAGTACTGACAAGTCAAAAGTCTAGTTTTGCAACTTTGCATCGTGTATAATTCTGCTTCGCCTAGTCAATAAAGGTACATTATCGTCGCTCTACTACACAAACCCCCCCCACCTTACATGATGACACCTAGTCAATCCATTCAATGATCTCCTTGTGAGAGCCGCCTCTCGGGTTGCACCCAAGCCGTACAGCAGTGTGATTAATACAGTCGTCGATCTATTTTCTTCCCAACTCCCTGATACTGGACCTTTTATGTCTTCGGATGTGAAAGGGAGG